TTTGGGACAAGGTAACTTTGATTCTATCTGATAGAGAGTGATGAAACTTAGTGTATAGTTGATAATCAGTTTGATTGCTCGATACTTTTGAAAAAAATAGATGTGCGATTAATTAATATGTGTCATCTATTTATTTGGGGATTTCGGCGGGGGACATCAGCCTCACTGTTGGCTTGGATTTACTGTAGATATGATTATACATGTAAATAATATGGTTCATGATTGAGTAATGAATTGACCAATTTTCCTTCAAATATGTTGTTATTGGATTGCCTTATCGAATATTTATTATCGATATTAATTATAAATGTTGGTTCGATAGCCCATTACTAGATTGTTATACGACCATTGGGGTTGAATTTAGGCTCAAACTGTATTTTCGTGCCTGAGTTGTGACCCTTTAATGAGCGTAATTTTGCATATCCGCTCTCTAGAGGCCATACTTTTGGACAGACTCTTTTCAAACATTAGGAAAATGGTTCGTATGCGTAGACGACGATCGGTATTGGATTCTCCAATTTTGCTCTGTATTTATGGCCCAATAACAGCAATAGCGTTATATGGCTTATTAGACGCTCACTAGAGGCCGCAATGTTTCCTTTCAGATAAAGTTGATTGCTGTCTATGGCTGTCTTTTTTTTCGAGATAAAACTAATGTCTGGGCCTATTTGCACGCAATCCTTTGATCATTATTTTTTTATAGAATGCTTATTGTATTTTATTAGAGAGAGTTATTAATATTATGATGAAACCAATTATCGATTGGTACAACGTTAAAAATAATTAATTATATATTTGTATCTAATAACAATTATAAATAAAACAAAGCCATAAATCCAAATGTAAGATTTTTTTACTTGGTTGCCCTTTATCTTGATTTATCTCTTGACCGGGGGTGGTGGTTGGTGGTAAACGCGTGCGCGTTGGAGCAGTAGGTATGTCATTAACTCAAGTGGCGCGCTTTAGATTCCTCGCTTGTACGTGACAAGGAGTAGGATCGCTTGTCGAGCCTTGTGCGCTTTGTTCCGGGTCCTCCGGTTTCCTCGCACTGCTAAAATACCTAACACACAAACAAATTATTGAACTCAAACTGAAACATATGTTAGTCCCCAAATGACCAAGTTTGTGCCGAGTAGATGTTAAGCCCCCCCCACACACACACACACACCATCCACGCCTTTCTCTCTCTCCCTCTCCCTCTCGTTGTATACTGTCATTCGCGCCGATTCAGCTTCTGTCTGTGTCATCCTGAAACATGACACGTTAGTACATCATCTTCCTGTATGTGTTTAGATTGGTCATCATGAAATCTCAATAACAACCCTGTTACAAAAACTAAGTGGGTAAGACGCTGACTCGCTAGCCTGGAGGTCGGGTGTTTGGTCCCTGCATTGGCCGAGAAAGTTCATCCAGATTTTCCGGCGTGGTTCCCCCTTGTCAGTGATGCAGAACGGAGGGCCTGACAAGGACAGCTGTCTAGTTCTTGGGATGAGACGAAAAACCAAGGTCCCGTGTATACATTGGAATGCACGTAAAAGATCCCTTGGCAGTTGGAATTCGAAATAAGAGTAGGCGATAGTGCCGCTGCCCGGGCAAAATTTCCCTCATAGTACACTGTATGGCGTATGCCTGTCTTCATTAGCCCAGTATAGGAGCAGAACAGTAGGACGTTAAACCCCATTTCATTTCTGTTACAAAAAAAATCATAGCGGGAATAAATTATATAAACTTTAAGCCAATAACTTTAATTCTCAATTCGCGGATTATTGTAGCAATACTCTTTGGTACTAATTACTTAATACAATGCTTTCTATATATTGTCCTACAATATGGAAACAAAAATTGGGGACTGAGAACAAAACTATTCCTTGTTGAAAGATATATTTTAAACAACATGTTGTTTAAAATTTTTAGGAATATCTAGCATACAGCAGAGAGTTATATTAATATTAACACAATATTACACTATATTACTCACTGTGCACAGTTGTCTAATAAACAAATATGTCATAAACAGGGCTGCACACTAGACAACACATCTGCTCTTATAGGGGTCCATCCTTCGCTTTGGTAGGCGTTATAGCCCTAGTTCAATGTCCACTCGCCCATCTGTGGTAACCAGTCCACAGATGCACAAGGAACCGGGTCATAGATACAGCTATTGTTTTATTACATGTACTACTTTTAAAACTTGCATTTTAACTTGGCCTATTAAAACCATTTACCATCATTGATATGATTGACTAGGGTCGCTATATCTGCGCATGCCATTGTAGTACCGCCCCCTCCCCCCTTCCATGCCTATGCGGAACCTATACAGGAGAAACCCAAGAGGGAGAGATAGTCCCGGAACAGCCCCTCGATCATTTTCTTGCTCATGCTTCTGTTTTGGGGTGAAGCGAGAAACAGGAGACAGAAGCGATCCCATGATGAAGGCGCTGATGATGAACCACAAGAAATAAATGATCTCTTCAAATACAATTGTTTATTTCAAAATTTGGGACAGAGTAATCAGTTGTTTCGGTGATCCTTTCGCTGACTTACATGATCTTGTAACAAATTTTTCGTGTTTGATTCCAAGCCATAACAACGAAACGGGGATCCGACACTTTGTCCAATTGTATACTAGCGACGTCGAGAGAGAGAGAGAGAGAGAGAGAGAGAGAGAGAGAGAGAGAGGGATCTGCTATATAATGAGAAAGCTAACTCCTCTTTCACGGCATTTTATAATGAATTGTGCTCGGAAAGACTATCCAGCTCAGAGATACTCTTTTTATCATCTCAAATCATTTCGATAGTCCTTATCCAAGCTGACGGATCTTCAGCATGTTAAGGTTGATCAAGAAGGGCGTCTGAACGTGAATTGACTCAGACAACTGACTTCGCTATCGTGATTGATCAGTTTGCGAATCATTTTACAAACGATTCTTTCCATCATCGAAGACGCTGCTGTGCCGAACAAGGAGAAACCAGGCCTGAAGATTGAAACATTTAATAAACACATTATGTACTGAATAATACGCATATCTTTCGCGGAGTTTCGAAGTGCATCTTTCGGTCCTTAATTCGGAGGTCTCGCTTTTATACGAAGCGTTGCAATAGGATTGTCTCTGTTGAGTCCACGATACGGTACATGCAGGTATTATGTTCAGATATGTTTCGGTAGGATCAACACGATTGCTACGAAAGGCCTAAATATATGATAAGACCTGATAGGATCACCACGATTAAAACCACGAATTTCAATCGCAGCACGAATCCTGATAGTGGGAAGCTAGCATAAATGATTGAAAAGTGCATGTCTACGAAAAGGGCACGAGTCCGAGAAAACTGCACCATTGCATGGTTTGAGTCAACAACGAAAGCAGGTGAAAACTACCATTTCGGAAACGATGCTATATAAGATGACAACACGCGCTGGGAGGAAATGAAATGAGGTTTAATTTCCTACTGCTCTGCTCCTAAACTGGGCTAATGAAGACGGGCATATGCCATACAGTGTGCTATGAGGGAAATTTTGCCCGGGTAGCGGCGCTACGGCCTACTCTTATATCGAATTCCAACTGCCAAGGGATCTTTTACGTGCACGCCAATGTGTACACGGGACCTCGGTTTTTCGTCCCATCCGAACGACTAGACAGATGTCCTTGTCAGGCCCTCCGCCCTGCATCACTGACAAGGGGAAACCACGCCGGAACATCTGGATGAACTTTCTCGGCCAATGCAGGGATCGAACACCCGAACTCCAGCGCTGGGAGGGAATTCAACAGAATGAAATTATATTCAAATTTACTTGGCTGGTAATTATAACTCACTCGGGTGATAATTATTAATTACTCAGGTGAATATTACGAAATAAATAAAAAAAATGGTTCGGGTGGGAATTAACATTTTCTCGGGTAAAAATTCGAGAAAATAAATTAAATTAAAAATGACTTGTGTGAAAATTAGAAAAACCAAATTATATTGAAAATTACTCTTGTGAAAATAAAAATTGGGGTGAAAATTATCGAAAATAATTTGTATTAAAATTGACTGGGGTGAAAATTAAGAAAAACAAATTATATTAAAAATCACTTGGGTGAAAATGACAAAAAACAAATTATATTAAAATTGACTTGGGTGGAAATTGAAAAAAATAAATAAATGAAAATTATTTTTTTTTATGTCTCTTATCAACCACCGTAGATGTGTGATTCGTAATGCCATAAGGAAATATTTACGAATTTTTTGTAAAGGTTATATTTATTAGTTTCAAAGCAGTTCAACCAACACTGTTATGTGGCTTATATACACATGTGAGTGATATTAAAATTGACTTGGGTGGAAATTGAAAAAAATAAATAAATGAAAATTATTTTTTTTATGTCTCTTATCAACCACCGTAGATGTGGGATTCGTAATGCCATAAGGAAATATTTACGAATTTTTTGTAAAGGTTTTATTTATTAGTTTCAAAGCAGTTCAACCAACACTGTTGCAAAATATGTGGCTTATATACACATGTGAGTGATATAGATTTCCTTCCTTAGGTGAGTGTTATGCTTATTATAAAAAAGGCCCTTCCGTGTCGAAACTGCGAAATGAGATGTGTGATTCATGACGCCATACAGAAAGTATTAACGAATTGTTTGTAAAAGTTCTATATTAGTTTCAAAGCAGTTCAACCAACACCGTTGCAAAATATGTTGACTTATACACGGGAGTGATAAAGGTTCCTTACTTGAAACTGTGAAATTTGATGATATATTTGAACTAACAACATAATTTACTTACTTAAAGTTTACTTCAAATCATATACAAATATATATATTGAATTAGAACTCTAGTGTAGCCAGAAAGCTCAAGTATCCGCTTGTAGCTTAAAAGGGCTGACACTTTCTATTGGGTTAGGACTCTAGTAAAGACAGAAAGCTCAAGTATCCGCTTGTTCGTAAAACCATTGATGATATTTCCAGAATTCTATTATATTGGTATTTATGTCTTTACAGATACTGATGGCAACTTTAAAGTGGATGTTTCTGTTACTGGTCTTATATCCTACGGATATCATCGCATTAAACTATGATAAGGAAATAGATATCAACTTGAAGGAGAAATCAGAAGATGGATTAGGGGATTTTATTGAATCCCCAAAGAAACAAAATTGGACTAGATGTGGAGACAATATGTGCCAGTGCAAAGGATACCAAGCACTCTGTTTAAACAATGGACATCAACTGACTTATATTCCCAGATTTGAACAAAACATAACACAGCTTAATTTTACTGGTAATTATCTACCGTTTATAGATAATGAAACTTTTACTAACGTTACCGAGTTTCAACTGAAAATTTTGGTTTTAAGGAATAGTTCAATACAAAACTGCACACGAAATGCATTTAATGTTCTGAAATTTTTACGATCTTTACTTATAAGATATAATACCATTTCAAGTAATGAACTAATGGATTGTTTGTCCGGCATAACAAAATATTTAAATCATATTTTTTTAGAATTTATACACTTAGATAAACCTTGGGATCTTGATTTGGACAATAGTATGACAGATTCAAAGATCTCCAATTTACACTTACAGAGTATTGAAATACCACATTATAATCAGAGTAAATTGTCAACTTTAAAACATCTGAAGAATATCGAAATCTTCAACTCCTCTTTAAGAATGGTTACATGTGACTTTTCGTCTACTTTAAAGTCATTACATTTAAATTCTAACCAACTTTTTGAATTGCCAACATTTTGTGTAAATGATAAGGCGTATTTTCCACATCTTAATTATTTGCGTTTAGACCATAACAACATACAGTCTATAAAGCCAGAACTACTCGCTTGTATGAAATTCCTCAAACAGTTTTATATTGATAATAACCGTATTATATTGATAGAGAGTAACACGTTTTCAAACTTACCAAAGCTTTTACTTGTATCAATTTCATACAATGGACCAGATATGGCTTTACAAGAATTTGCTTTTAATAGTTCATCCCTGAAAAAACTCTATCTATATGACGACGACATATATTTTGTCAATGGACAAAAGCACGTCAATGAGGATGCTTTTAAATACTGCACACAATTGGAAGTTTTAATAGTATCATCGAACCACTTCCGGTTTACTACAAGTCAAATGTTCGAAGGAATATTCAGTACTCTGCGTAATTTAAGAATTTTGTCATTAGCTCACGGCGAACTAAAGGTTCTTCCAAGTTCTATTCCAAAATATCTTGAAAAATTAGAGAAATTATTGCTTGGCCGTAATAACATTATAAATATAAAGGAAGGCTACTTCAATAATCTCAAATCTCTAAAAAATATAGAAATAAATTCAAATAAAATAACCACAGTTAAACCAAATACATTTTCACTTCAATTTCTTAAACAAGTGAAAGGCATTGATCTTTCTAACAATCCGTTTTCTTGCTCCTGTGAATTACTTTGGTTCATCAATTTTCTAAAAACAAGCCCCATCAGAAAACGTTTCATTCGTTTTCCAAAAGAATACATCTGCGGTTCTCCGACAGTTTACGATGGGAAGCAACTCTTACAGGTCAGGCTTTCTGAACACACATGCGCAATAACATATCAGGCCCGTTTAATTATTATATCTGTATCGGCAGGAATTTTTCTCTTAGTTTTAACTATTTCTGTTGTTTACCGTTATCGATGGTATCTACGATATATATTGTACATGGCACGATTTCAACACGTTCGCTACCAAAGACTTTTAAATGGTGGCGAGAATTATAATCATGATGTATATCTTAGTTCTTGTGATGCAGATTTTGATGACGTAATATATAATGACCTTGTACCTAGATTAGAGGAGGATATGGGTCTGCGACTTTATATCCCCCAAAGAGATGGACAGGGAAATATGATTGACCAAATAATATCCAATATGGATGCCAGTCGTAAAGTCATGTTATTTATATCTGATAAATATGTTGAAGATGGTTATTGTGAATTTGAAGCTAGTTTTGCCTATAATAAGTATATCAATGAAAAGCGTGATTTAATGATTGTAGTAGTATTTAATGAACTTGGTATTCTGAATGTAACAAAAACCATACATAAAATACTGGCTGTTGATAATTATATTAAATGGGGCTGGGATGAAGAAAGTGTGGAATTATTCTGGTTAAAGATAACGACTGCAATTAATAATATGGATGATCTAATACCTTAAAAAAAACCTGTAAGAAAAATTATCAGAATATGGTCAGATATAAAATTTAACTTAGTATGTAAGGTCTTTTTATAAGGTATTTTTCGTCGAGTGTCCTTTACAGTATTCTATTGTGTTTTTTTTTAAATATGACTATTTACTTGCTATGTTATATTTTGTATGTTAAAGGGATATTCACTGTGTAAATGTCATTATAATCCATTTAATTTCGATTCGTTTAATATTATCTGTCCCTTTTTATCGCTTTCTTTGTTTGTCATTTCCTGTATTTTATATAATTACTAGATTATGATTAAAGTATTATTAATTTGTTTTAGATATTTAATGATTTGGTCATATATTTGTATTCAATATATACCTATTATTAAGATTTGGTTTGATTGTAATTTTTACTGTATATCTATTGTTATCTTAATTATTTCTAAATAAAACAACTTATGTAATCAAAATATATGACCTTATTTCTTTAGCTGGTTGGGGGGTGGGGTGGATGGCTGAATGGATAGTACGCGCGCGCTGTATCATAAAGTCTGTCATTGAGTCAACTGGCGTGGTTTCGATTCCCCGGTTGTACGTGACAAGGAGTAGGGTCGCCTGTCCAACCTCGTGGGTTTTCTCCGGGTCCTCCGGTTTCCTCCCACTGCTAAAGACACCTACGCGCAACCGAAATATGGAAATAAAATTGAACCATATGTTAGTCCCGAAATGAACTAGTTTGTATCGAGTGGACGTTAAACCCCATTTCTCTCTCTCTCTCCTTCTCTCGCTAGTTTTACGACTATGATACGAATAATTGTAGTTGATAAATGTTAAAACGATCACAATAGTCTTATTTCTTATCAAGAGGAACATCAACAGGATGCCCGCGATACGTTGTAAGATAATATTAACAGACAGTTTCCTGTATGACGGTAGATTCACAATCATTTTTCTTTTATAGTATTATATGATTCGTCGTTCTATTTATTAGTTTCAAAGCAGTTCAACCAACACTGTTGCAAAATATGTTGCTTTATATACACATGTGAGTGATATAGTCTTCCTTGCTTAGGTGAGTATTATGCTTATTATCAAAAAAGGCCCTTCCGTGTAGAAACTGCGAAATGTGATGTGTGATTCTTGACGCCATACAGGAAGTATTTACGAATTGTTTGTAAAAGTTATATATTAGTTTCAAAGCAGTTCAACCAACACCGTTGCAAAATATGTTGACTTATACACGGGAGTGATAAAGGTTCCTTACTTGAAACTGTGAAATTTGATGATATATTTGAACTAACAACATAATTTACTTACTTAAAGTTTACTTCAAATCATATACAAATATATATTGAATTAGAACTCTAGTGTAGCCAGAAAGCTCAAGTATCCGCTTGTAGCTTAAAAGGGATGACACTTTCTATTGGGTTAGGACTCTAGTAAAGACAGAAAGCTCAAGTATCCGCTTGTTCGTAAAACCATTGATGATATTTCCAGAATTCTATTATATTGGTATTTATGTCTTTACAGATACTGATGGCAACTTTAAAGTGGATGTTTCTGTTACTGGTCTTATATCCTACGGATATCATCGCATTAAACTATGATAAGGAAATAGATATCAACTTGAAGGAGAAATCAGAAGATGGATTAGGGGATTTTATTGAATCCCCAAAGAAACAAAATTGGACTAGATGTGGAGACAATATGTGCCAGTGCAAAGGATACCAAGCACTCTGTTTAAACAATGGACATCAACTGACTTATATTCCCAGATTTGAACAAAACATAACACAGCTTAATTTTACTGGTAATTATCTACCGTTTATAGATAATGAAACTTTTACTAACGTTACCGAGTTTCAACTGAAAATTTTGGTTTTAAGGAATAGTTCAATACAAAACTGCACACGAAATGCATTTAATGTTCTGAAATTTTTACGATTTTTACTTATAAGATATAATACCATTTCAAGTAATGAACTAATGGATTGTTTGTCCGGCATAACAAAATATTTAAATCATATTTTTTTAGAATTTATACACTTAGATAAACCTTGGGATCTTGATTTGGACAATAGTATGACAGATTCAAAGATCTCCAATTTACACTTACAGAGTATTGAAATACCACATTATAATCAGAGTAAATTGTCAACTTTAAAACATCTGAAGAATATCGAAATCTTCAACTCCTCTTTAAGAATGGTTACATGTGACTTTTCGTCTACTTTAAAGTCATTACATTTAAATTCTAACCAACTTTTTGAATTGCCAACATTTTGTGTAAATGATAAGGCGTATTTTCCACATCTTAATTATTTGCGTTTAGACCATAACAACATACAGTCTATAAAGCCAGAACTACTCGCTTGTATGAAATTCCTCAAACAGTTTTATATTGATAATAACCGTATTATATTGATAGAGAGTAACACGTTTTCAAACTTACCAAAGCTTTTACTTGTATCAATTTCATACAATGGACCAGATATGGCTTTACAAGAATTTGCTTTTAATAGTTCATCCCTGAAAAAACTCTATCTATATGACGACGACATATATTTTGTCAATGGACAAAAGCACGTCAATGAGGATGCTTTTAAATACTGCACACAATTGGAAGTTTTAATAGTATCATCGAACCACTTCCGGTTTACTACAAGTCAAATGTTCGAAGGAATATTCAGTACTCTGCGTAATTTAAGAATTTTGTCATTAGCTCACGGCGAACTAAAGGTTCTTCCAAGTTCTATTCCAAAATATCTTGAAAAATTAGAGAAATTATTGCTTGGCCGTAATAACATTATAAATATAAAGGAAGGCTACTTCAATAATCTCAAATCTCTAAAAAATATAGAAATAAATTCAAATAAAATAACCACAGTTAAACCAAATACATTTTCACTTCAATTTCTTAAACAAGTGAAAGGCATTGATCTTTCTAACAATCCGTTTTCTTGCTCCTGTGAATTACTTTGGTTCATCAATTTTCTAAAAACAAGCCCCATCAGAAAACGTTTCATTCGTTTTCCAAAAGAATACATCTGCGGTTCTCCGACAGTTTACGATGGGAAGCAACTCTTACAGGTCAGGCTTTCTGAACACACATGCGCAATAACATATCAGGCCCGTTTAATTATTATATCTGTATCGGCAGGAATTTTTCTCTTAGTTTTAACTATTTCTGTTGTTTACCGTTATCGATGGTATCTACGATATATATTGTACATGGCACGATTTCAACACGTTCGCTACCAAAGACTTTTAAATGGTGGCGAGAATTATAATCATGATGTATATCTTAGTTCTTGTGATGCAGATTTTGATGACGTAATATATAATGACCTTGTACCTAGATTAGAGGAGGATATGGGTCTGCGACTTTATATCCCCCAAAGAGATGGACAGGGAAATATGATTGACCAAATAATATCCAATATGGATGCCAGTCGTAAAGTCATGTTATTTATATCTGATAAATATGTTGAAGATGGTTATTGTGAATTTGAAGCTAGTTTTGCCTATAATAAGTATATCAATGAAAAGCGTGATTTAATGATTGTAGTAGTATTTAATGAACTTGGTATTCTGAATGTAACAAAAACCATACATAAAATACTGGCTGTTGATAATTATATTAAATGGGGCTGGGATGAAGAAAGTGTGGAATTATTCTGGTTAAAGATAACGACTGCAATTAATAATATGGATGATCTAATACCTTAAAAAAAACCTGTAAGAAAAATTATCAGAATATGGTCAGATATAAAATTTTATCTTAGCATGTAAGGTCTTTTTGTCAGGTATTTTTCTTTGGGTGTCCTTTACAGTATTCCACTGTGTTTTTTTTTAAATATGACTATTTACTTGCTATGTTATATTTTGTATGTTAAAGGGATATATAGTTTCCAAATGCCATTATAATCCATTTAATTTCGAATCGTCTAAGATTAATCTGTCACATGTTATCGCTTTCTTTGTTTTTCATTTCCTGTATTTTATATAATTACTAGATAATGATTAAAGTATTAATAATTTGTTTTAGATATTTAATGATTTGGTCATATATTTGTATTTAATATACCTATTATTAAGATTTGGTTTGATTGTTACTGTATATCTATTGTTATCTAAATTATTTCTAAATAAAACAACTTATGTAATAAAAATATATGACCTTATTACTTTAGCTAATTGGGGGGTTGGATGGCTGAATGGTTAGTACGTGCGCGCTGTATCATAAAGTCTGTCATTGAGTCAACTGGCGTGGTTTCGATTCCCCGGTTGTACGTGACAAGGAGTAGGGTCGCCTGTCCAACCTCGTGGGTTTTCTCCGGGTCCTCCGGTTTCCTCCCACTGCTAAAGACCCCTACGCGCAACCGAATTATGGAAATAAAATTGAACCATATGTTAGTCCCGAAATAACCTAGTTTGTGTCGAGTGGACGTTAAACCCCATTTCTCTCTCTCTCTCCCTCTCTCGCTAGTTTTACGACTATGATACGGATAATTGTAGTTGATAAATGTTAAACTGCGAAATGTGATGTGTGATTCATGACACCATACAGGAAGTATTTACGAATTGTTTGTAAAAGTTATATATTAGTTTCAAAGCAGTTCAACTAACGCTGTAGCAATATATGTTGACTTATACACGGGAGTGATAAAGGTTCCTTACTTGGGTGATAATATTTTTATTATAAAATACCTCCCCGTGTATAAACTGCGAAATTTGATGATATATTTGAACTAACAACATAATTTACTTCCTTAAAGTTTACTTCAAATCTTATACAAATATATATTGAATTAGAAGAACTCTAGTGTAGCCAGAAAGCTCAAGTATCCGCTTGTAGCTTAAACGGGCTGACACTTTCTATTGGGTTAGGACTCTAGTAGTTACTCTAGTAACGTAAATTGTATCGGCTCTGAACAGCCTTCTACTACGTTACATTCATATTACATTATTATATGCGTTGTGACGTATTTGTGTCAATTTCTAGGTCCCAAATATTAGCTCCTTTAAAGGGATATTCACTGTGTATATAGATTCCAAATGCCATTATAATCCATTTAATTTTGATTCGTTTAAGATTAATCTGTCACTTTTTATCGCTTTCTTTGTTTGTCATTTCCTGTATTTTATATAATTACTAGATTATGGTTAAAAATTTGTTTTAGATATTTAATGATTTGGTCATATATTTGTATTTAATATACCTATTATTAAGATTTGGTTTGATTTTAATTTTTACGCTATATCTATTGTTATCTTAATTATTTCTAAATAAAACAACTTATGTAATCAAAATATATGATCTTATTTCTTTAGCTAGTTTTATGACCATGATACGAATAATTGTAGTTGATAAATGTTAAAACGATCACAATAGTCTTATTTCTTATCAAGAGGAACATCAACAGGATACGTTGTAATAGTCTGGAGGCTCAATGCGGAAGGGTGTCCGTCAAATGGGCACAAAACCAGACCCAACTTTTCTAGAGTAAAATTTTGCGTAGAATACAATGCCGAGTAGTAATCAGTCCGCCGTTGGGGCGTTTTCGAGATATTCGAAGTCAAAGGTCAAATGAGGTCATTTGCACTGAAAGTAAATGCGCAGACATTCTTGTATCACGAAAGTACACCAGCCTTTCGAAAAAATGTTAACTTGCTAAATTCACTTTTGTTCTTTGTGACCCCGGAGGCCAAAAGGTCAAATTGTCCGTTTTTGCACCAGGAAGATTTAAAGCAATAAAATATAACTAAAGCGAAACCTGTTCTAATTAATAAAATGAACATTTCCAACTTATCTTTAGGTGGTCTTAGCACCGTACATTTACTTTAGAACGTCGAAAAAAAAGATCTTGCACAACATAACCAAAACACTTCGAAACCTGTTTCAAAAGTACGTAAAAACTGTCAAATCAAAATCTCTTGGATTTAGTTTCACAACGATTGCTGTACTAGTTGTGCGAAAAAACAATTGAATAGTTTCTTGGCAGAACTCCAGCCTGCAGGCCGCGTCACGAAGTCTGCCAAACTTTTCCCCGGTAACATTTACCAATACGAATATCCCGTGAGCTATTATGTGCAATGCATCCGTTGGTTTTATCTATGTCCATGTTCCGGCACAATTCATGTAAACTCATAAAAGAATTGCAAACCTTTTATCACGTCGCCTGATACGTGTTTTCCGGTCACAAATTAACGTCGGTGACGAGAACCTGCCGTGTTGGCTTCTTCGTCAATTCATCTGAATGTGTTTGAAACTCACACACTTATCAACAGTTTCGCTGTCTTATATTTTACCGATTGTACATAAATACCCATAGAGCCGTTCCAATAATTTAACAGCATGGCCATTCGGATTCCCAGAAGCTATATGCGAATTGCACGAGTAAAAGGCGGGGACACTCAAACGTTTACAATCCAGTCATATATTCAGAAAGTGAAAAGTCCAAGCATTCAAAAACTAATGAAAACAGATCGAAAGGAAACGTATAATTAATTGAAAGATGTAAATTCCAACATTCAACAGTAGAATAAAGACGTGGGCCATGTGTGCCTACCCTTTGTCAACTGTATTTTACAGTTGTATGATAGGATGCCAAATGGTCTCAGTGGTTTGCAGAAAATCAATGAATGGTGCAACATCGAAGGCGACATGTCCCATATAAAGCCGCGAAAAAGATGCACCACACTTTAGTACATGGATATCTACCAAATCACAAAACTTAATAATACCACGCTCATCGTTTGTTTAGACCCTGATTTAACAACATTTTGTTTAATTGTGTATATTGCCCATTGCCATTTAAACCGTTTAATGTCCTTTAAACACGTTAATTGTGGAGTTATGGTTACGGAGTTATCCCCCTGCCCCCCATTTCAATTGTATCAATTTCAACGTATTACTGCATTTTTCTAGAGCATTATATGGAACGATCGAATTTCCGTTTTATCTAAAAGTTTAGTTTATCGAAAGTAGCATTACTGTATTGTCATTTATTTTCAGTCTGACTGTGATGTGCGGTTCGGGGATTTTAGGACTTCGGTAATTAATCGTCATTCCCTGTACGTTAATGGCCTCGTTTGTTTTCTTGTTTGTGTTCTATTCTCTACAGGGGCACGAAGAACCTAGACAAATCCACCATTTTTTCTGTTTATAGTACGGTTCCTATCGCTTGCTATATAGCTGCAATATGAAAATAACATATGAATCTAAATTTATTTTATTCAATAGAATGTAAAAAGAACATGTGCAGCTAGTACAGACTTAATGGGTAAAGCTTAATATTTAAAGTTTGATCCTTTAAAAATCACATTTACTGAGAGGCCTTAATCCGAGCAATAAAATATTTACTGAAGCACTATCACTAATTTTAAACCATTCAGTAATTCAAAATATAATTTTAATTTACTCTGTGATTATGTAGTATAATGTAATGACAGATAATTCCTTAATAGTACACAGTATAAATTAAATTTTCTTTTTCTAAATAATCAGTTGACAAAAAAATCACAAAAATAAAAGTAACTCTGAACACAGATCAGACCTACTGTCGTGGATATTTAGAGCACACTTCAGATTTATAATAATTTAATATATTCTTGTGCAGTGGTGTAAAATGAACAATTTCATAGTAGTAGGGGGCCTGTAAAGGCCGTCAAAGCACTACATGTCACCAAAAGTAATATGCAAAATATTCATTCTCAAGTTGTGTTTGGTTTATACTTGTTTGTAAAAAGGAAACCAGTCAACTCAAATAATGTTTATTGAAAAATATCATAGGCGTATTTAAAATAGAATTTTAATATCTTTAATTATTTTTTTTATTTTTTTTAAAAATGAAAGCCTACATTAATTAATAGAATACAAATCATAAAAGCATAAAGTGAGTCAACGTTGGAGCCAAAGGTATTTTATCTTGGAAAACATCCAATGGCTCAAATCTGTTTATTGGAAAACGTTATAGGCCTATTTGAAATTTTAATATTCTTAAATTATTATTTTTATACGCCCACATTTTCATGTCATCGCCCCCGTCCGGACGTCCACAATTGTTTGTGAACACTCTAAAAGTCACAATTTTTATCCGATTTCAATGAAACTTGAAATATAGGTTTATCACCATAAGATCTCGCCATGTATCGGACTGTAACTTCATGGATTATGGCCCCTGGTTGTACGAAAAATCGCGTTTTTAGCTTGTGAACAAGAGTTCGCAATTTTTATCCGATTTCTTTTAAACTTGAAATATATATTTATAACCCACAGACCTCGATTCCTTTCGATATTCGCGCATTATCGGACCATAACTTCCTGAATTATGGCCCCTGATTGTACGAAAAATCGCGTTTTTAGCTTGTTGACCCTATAGAGGATACAATTTTTATCCAATTTAAAAAAAACGTTTGAATATATCACCGGTACACCCTAAGGATGGCTGAGTTCGAATTTCGTAAAAATCGGACCGAAACTGACAGACAAAATGGCCGCCCCTTGTTCGCAAATGGTGCATTTTATTTCTGCAGGTATCACTGTTTTACACTCTGTGCTATATTTTGTGTTATTTTGTAAAAACAAACAAACAAATGAAATGATTGTTTGCAGATTTGGTGGTCTATGAAACCAAAGACGTCATTTGCTTATATGACTATTCTTTCGTAAATAGTTTTCTGGCTAGAGACGGTCAATGGTTCTAAATATTGCGAACATACATTTCCGAATTATGTTCAATGGAACAGCCGCAAACATTATAAAGGAAATTAACTCTTTTATAACTCGGTTGTTTTCCTCATTAACTTCAATATCAAATAATGTTATTGCTAGGAGGGTCATAATACTATGACATTATTAAGGGAATTAACTATTTTATAACTCGATTGTTTTCCTCATTAACTTCAATATCAAATAATGTTATTTCTAGGAGGGTCATAATACTACTATAGATGCATTATGCCACGCGTGACTTAATGGGATTCCGCATTATTTTGCTTGCATTCAAAATGTAGGCCACTCAAATTTCAAATCATTAGATCATATTGATTATTGATTATTGGGTTAAGTGTCTATAGCTGATTCCTATTTGTTTTTTACCAAAATACTGTTATTTATTACCGTCATGAATTTCCTTGTTCCTTGTACTGTTTGAAGACGAGCGCTGATCTGATTTGCTGTGATGACACGATTTCTCAAGGCCAAGGTACGGATAAATCGATCCTGGGCTTGAGTTGTCGCCCTGAGCGTGGTCTGTCCTGTACAGATTGTGTATCACGGTATCTGGACCATAGCCTGCTTATGACAGACTGAGAAACATTCATCGTCCGCGCCACAACCGCCTGTGTTGTGCCGATCTGTAGCATGCCAAGGGCACGTAACCTTTCATTTTGGGTAAGCCGACGCATATCAAAATTTGTTTTCTGGTCACTAAAACAATTAAGCTGATGTTTCCACCCTGGAATTCAATGCCACAATGACTGTAACATTCAAAGTCAGAGTCGTGCAAATCTTGGGTTGGACCCCCATGATGATTCCAAGCATCACCTGCATTCCATGCGGTAGCTATTGGTGCGTTTGGGCGTCACATGTAACTGGAAATGTTTCTTCTGTTAGGTTCTATAGTGACTTTTTTCGTAGTCATTTGCATATTTTAGTATTATGCCCCCAAAATCAAATATCCCCTACTTTTTTTGAATAGTATATATATGAATATACTATGTATACAAGACCCGTAATACATGCAGTTGTGAGAGACGGGAAGGTAGCAGTAAGGGGCTACTAAGGGAGTACACCGACATGTTTTGTCTTATCGGTATGCGTCGTTACTTCAACAAGCTTATTAAATAAGTTGGCAACCAAAACGACGTTTATAAAGGAGGTGCCGTTATCGAGAGTTAGACAATGAGCAATAATATATACAGGATGAGACGAAAAACGGAGTATGCGGAAACGCTACTGTCTTTACAAAAAATCCCCCATAGCAAACTGCATGTTGTAGACCCGTCCTCATTATTCCAGTTAGCTCACAAAAATAGGACGCTAGTCGACCCCATTTCATTCCATTTGCTAAACTATTACGACAAATTATGTTAGTTTGATATACCCATTGCCGCTTTAAACTTCACGCCTCAAATATGTTTAATTGTTTGTTACATAAACTTATATCTTTCTCGCTCGTTTCATCGACTGGTCGTCATAGCATCAAAAGTATAATTGTGTTTAAGATACAATTCGTGATTTATCGATCAGTAGCAATTACCCGCTGCTACACTGTCAATCGAAAAACACTTTGAAACAAAACCAGTCGTCGTTCAGAAATACTAGAACTTTATACATTTAACAGTCATGATTTCTGTAACGTATGTCAAAGAATTGAAGCAAGAAAGCCATACGGATTTCAAGAACCTGTTTCAACCCTTACAGCAGATAGCAAAATGGACTGGTTTACATAGTGTTCAAATCGGAAAGGAATCACGATTCTACAAAGTGAAAAGGGTTTTACTGTGGATTTATCTATTAGTAATATACTCTGTTATGTTATCGGCCCCTGTCAAGAGCGTCTTCACTATTCTATACAATGACCCTGACGACGGGCGGATCATTCCACTGCTGGCACTGTTTGTCTTTTTTTTGGCATCCGCTTACATTACAGTTGCGTCTTACTTCTCCGTGTCTAAATATTTTTCCAGTTTTTGTGGCAGTTTAAATGAACACCAACGACTATATAGAAATATTCGAATTAATCTGTTTATAAAGATATGTTGTAAATGGGCGAACTGGATTGTTGGGGTCTTTGCAGTTACTACAACAATATTTTATTGTTGTTGTACTTTTTATATGCAAGATGATTTTGCTGATGCGTTTCGTCCATTTTCTTTCAATGGTGTGTATAATACTGTTTTGACGATGTCGTACATATCAAGTAATGCATTCTTCCTACTAGCGCACCAAGTTATCTTGAATATGTTTCTCATCGTAACTTTCAAATTATTTCTGATGCAATTTTCAGATCTGAATGAAAGACTGGAAACCGGTTTAGCAGAAAAATCGCCTTCTCTACAAGAGAAAACCATTGAAACAATTAGGCTGGAATATTCAAGTCTTCTTGCCTGTTTTGAAATAACTAATTCTATAATTCGTCATTATTTATTTGCTTTATATGCTATGTGTATACCGATAGTTTGTTTTCTGTTATACGGGTTTCTCAGAGGAAAACTTACCCGAGGTGAATCATTGGCCCTGATTATTCTAGTTGTGTTCATTGTTTTCTTTGTACTAGTCCACACTATAATTGGCGCTGTTTTTAGCATCAGGGTAAGAATATTATTTTCAATTAATGTACGCCCATATTTGGGCTATCGTCCATAACTGTCGTTCGTCAGCCCCTCTACAATTCAGAACACTATTCAAATCATTATGTTCATTATTGTATGGATCAAATAAGAACTATTTTTTTATTATTATTATTTCCTTTTTTTTATTTTTAATTGTGTAGAATAATTTTTACTTTTGTAATTAGTTTCTTATTTTGTGAAAAAAAAATATTACAATTTTGTAAACAAATTATTACTTAATGGAATGCCCTGTCGCCATGGGAGTCACCGCGGCTAAGCTAAGTAAGTAAAACGCGGCATTGCGTTAGCCTGGAGGTCGCGGGTCCTCTCCCATTCTTGGCCGATAAAGTTGGTCGGTATTTTCCAGTGTGGTTTCCACTTGTCAGTGGTGTAGACGGAGTATGGGACGATACCGAGGTCCCATATTTCCGTGGACACGTTGGCCTATACGTAAAAGGCCTCTTGACAGTTAGTATTCGATTCAGAGTAGACCGTAGTGCCGCTGTCTGGGCGAAAGTCCCCTCATAGCACACTGTATGGCCCTCTGCATTAGCCCAGTGGGGGCAGAACAGTAGGACGTTATCCCCCATTTCATTCCATTTCATTTCCCTGCCGCCATTTTGTTTGTAACAGACGCTTGTACAATCGGCTTACCTCGGTTATTTTTATATTTCGATTTATACTGTACACCTTTCACACGCGCTGTCTCTTTAGCTATTTGGGGGGGGGGGGGCGAATGGTTAGCACGTGCGCGCTGTATCATAAGGTCTGTCATTGAGGCAACTGGTGTGGTTTCGAATCCCCGGTTGTACTTGACAAGAAGTATATAGTGTCGCCTGTCCAATCTCGTGGGTTTTTCCAGGTGCGCCGGTTTCCTCCTACTGCTAAAGACCCATACGCGCAAGCGACTTATTGAAATAACATTGAAGCATGTGTTAGTCCCGAAATGACCAAGTTCGTGTCGAGTGGACGTTAAACCACATGTCTCTCTCTCTCTCTTTAACTATATCTTTGACCATGCAAGGTGAAATCTCATAACGACGCCTTTTTAAGACCTTTTTTTGTTACGCGTCAAGTTTTCCTAATTTGTAAACTTGCAACCTTGACACAATGTACAGGCCGGAAGCCGAGACGTATATCAAGCGTCGTGCAGGCGAGCTACATGACGTGAGGATCATAGAATCAGGCAAGGTTTGCCAAATGGTGCACGAGAAAAATAGAAATTGATTGTCAAAAAACCCAAAAAAACAATTATAAACTATTTTTCAATATAGATTAATTTTAAAAATTAAATTTTAATCTTAGAATATTGGAAATTTGAATTAAAAATTAATTTACAAAATTAGAACTTATTCCACAAAATCCAAAATTAAAAATAGAAATTAAAAATTGTTTTTCAAAATTAGAAAATTCAATATACAAATAGGAAATCGAAAAAAAAAAGAGTTAGAATTTGAACTTTCGTATTATTGTCCTACTTTACAATATCAACGTTGACTATTTGTCAAAATGGTGCATTTTAACTTTATAAGGGGAGACAGCCCCTTGTCGGTGGTGCGAGATAGATTTTGTAATCCGAGGTCCTGTGTACACGCTGAGTTGCACATTAAAGATCCCTTGAAATCGTAATGTCGCTGTGCGGTCATAATTTCCCTCATAGCACACTGGGCCAATTCAATTCCTTGGTTAAACTTGTGTCATTTCATTTAATTTTATTGTTGTCTTTGAGCAACTTGATCGTAGGTTCTACAGTTGATCATCTAAGGCAAGCGAGACTATTTCCGTTTAGCACGGGTGTGTTAAAAGAGTGCTTTGTATGACATTGAATTCACGACGCGTCCGAGGCAAAGAAAAAAATTGTTAGGTGAGAGTGTCCCATTACCGGAGTGCGTTTTCGACAGATCAACAGTGAACAAAAATAGAGGCGAATAACCAGAAAACCAGACCAAGGATATATCCGGTATCAGATTAGGTAGTTCCTTTAGGAACGGTCTCTATGATCGGACTTTGTCCTTTGACCGTCCCTATTAAGCTACAAATGGAATTTACCGTTTTCCACACTATGTTCTAAGGCTATTTTGGAATCCCTACCTTCTATTTTTTCACCGTGATTCTTTATCTTTCGCCAAAGGGAATTAATTCTCGCAACATCTGACCAACATTTAAAATAATTCAACTCCGTTTTTAAGCAGAATTTTACTATGTTCGAGTCTCGTAATTGCTGATCTGTTTAAAATTATTTTGTGCATGTTTTTAATCGGAAAACTCTATAACACAACACAGTTCTATGGATAACAATCACTATAGTATATACACACGACGTTTTGACAAGAATTCACTGGTCGTTATCAAGCATACATTTTACAAACTCTACTTGATAAGGATTCCAAAATAGCCTTAGAACAGACGTGGGGAAGAGCGGTATTTTGATATTGTAGCTTAATAGGGACGGATAGGAACGGTCAGTGGACAGCGTCCTATCCGAGACCGTTTCTAAAAAAAACACAGACTAGCATGCATTATAACACAATCACTAATTAATATGCATTTGTAAGATCTAAAGACGCCCAATTATGAGCAGACAGCTTGCTTATGATTTGATGTGCATCAAAATGAAGAAGTAAAAAGGGTTGGCTTATGATTTGATGTGCATCAAAATGAAGAAGTAAAAAGGGTTGGCTTATGATTTGATGTGCATCAAAATGAAGAAGTAAAAAGGGTTGATTTTTTTAACTGGACGTACTATTGTATGTATTTATCTACTGTAAACATATAAATAATTATATTCAAACTACTTTAATTTACATATTTATATAACCTTTTGATATCCATTAGGCCCACAGCCCCTTGAACGTGTTGATGAAATTTGATATACTGTCAATTACCGACAAGGCAGCACGTAGCGTAAGTTTATCGCCTCATCAAGGAACACTAGACTTCTTATACCTGCCAATGTTCACGGCTTCTCTGGAAATACGAGTTTTAATACATGTCAATATCACTGCCTTATCTAGAAACACTGTATTTCTAATACATCCCAATATCACTGCATTATCTAGAAACACTGTAATTCTAATACATCCCAACATCACTGCCTTATCTAAAAACACTGTAATTCTAACGCATGTCAATTTCATTGCCTTATCTAGAAACACTGTAATTCTAATGCATGTCAATATCACTGCCTAGAAACGCTGTAATTCTAATACATGTCAATATCACTGTCTTATCTAGAAACACTGTAATTCTAATACATGTCAATATCACTTTCTTATCTAGAAACACTGTAATTCTAATACATCTCAATATCACTGCCTTATCTAGAAACACTGTAATTCTAATACATCTCAATATTACTGCCTTATCTAGAAACAATGTAATTATAATACATCTCGGTATTACTGTCTTATCTAGAAACACTGTAATTCTAATTCATCCCAATATTACTGCCTTAAATAAAAACACTGTCTTATCTAGAAACACTGTAATTCTAATATACTATCACTGATTTATCTTATGTTTGCCGTAGTTCAAATATCTAGTCGTGATCAATCAATATAAATGATAGTTCCTCTCATTCTTCCTAAAAATGTGTGTGTTTTTGACAACATTTCTTTGGTTTAAAACGGTCCCCTGCCCTTTAAAGTAAGCACGGGACTATAGGTTCGTCACACGTTTGGGCGACATAATGGAATGTTGAAACTTTTCGTAGATGTTAATTAGGTGAATATTATGACTTGATTGCGATGGTGAGTATTTGGCAGTTCAATGAACATATTCTGCTTATAGGCTGAGAAAACATTCTTAATTTCATTGGTCGAGACAATAATTCTTCTTATAATTAGGGTTAAATGCTGTTCAATGGGTGGATGTCTTGACTGAGATCGATGATAAGTATTTGTTTGCTTAGGCAAATGTGCTTCTAATTAAGAAGGCTTGATAAAAAAAAATCGGTGTATGGTTCCATTACATCAACACCTTTACTAGATTCGACACTGTTTATTGTCTGTTATGCAGAGTAATAAACAATTTGAAAGCTAGACACATTATTTGTTGGTTTTTTTCTTAAACAGGTGTTACTGTTCCTATCCAGAATAAATGGACCAACAATTGGATATCATGTATATGAATTATTTACCTTGGATACAAATACTGCGTTAGCGGTAAGGGACTATTTTTATATATTTCAAATTATATGCCTTTGTTTCATTATGTTTCTTTTATGTTTTAACTAAGGCTCATTTTAATTTGTTTTTGTCTAGTTCCTAATAGTTGTACATAGCTAATTGCCAGGAAATAATCAACAAATCTTACTCGGTTTTCGTTTTTATTGACTGGCGAGTATTGTTTGACTTTTTGGCCTACAATTTACTTCTTTAAGGGGCAATGGTAAATATTATGTATGTTGAGATAAGGGGGTAGCCGACTTGATGTACGGTGATTATAATGACCCCACGGATGACTATGATTCGAAGAATTAACGCTCATGCCCACAAATGACACGTCTTATGGTCATGTACGTAATACATCTGATGCATCCCGTAGTTCCCGATGCATTTTGGACATGATACAACACCGACGTTACTAGCAACACAAATGTGATTGGCTTCCTGTTGGACTGAAGCACAAATGATAACCCCGACCCAGGCCCCCTGCAAAGAGTTTCGCCACCCCCCGCCCCTGTGAAAAAATTGTTGACCAACAAAAAAATAGATATACATTGTCCGTCAATTTTTACAGCACCCCTGAGAACACTCCCCGCCCCTCTCGTTGCTCTCAGCTAGTTACGGCCCTGCCCCGACCATTGATCTTACATTGTTTTCCCACTTAGGTAAAGTAGCCTAATTATTGCTCACTGCTACAGATTAAGTATGTAACCGGTAGCCGTAGCTATCTTAATTATTTGTATTTCGTTTTCCGGAAAAGCGCTCCGTAGTTCTATATTTAGACTATGGGTGTAAGTTTTGGTACCTATCGCTACTCTAGTAAAATCTATGGTTTTCTCGGCACAGTCATCGCCTGTTTAATATTTTGATATTTTTATATTGTGTAAGAGTATATATTTCTAATTGAGCATGCTGCCTATGTTTTTATTATTGTTAATTGTGTCTGCCGACTGTATTTTCAAGCAAGAACTTTACTATGTTTATATATGTATTTTCACTTAGTTTGTTATAATATTTAGTGGGCAGATTTTGTAAGTAAACATTTTTGATGGGGACTTATATGTATCTGGTAGATAAATTATCTAGCTATCCGTGCCTATCCTTAGTTTTGTGGTGCCTACTTTGTGTCAAAAGTTCTGCATATTTTTTGGATAGTACCCGTGTCTGGATTTTAGATTCCATGCCGACTTGTCCAAGGGAGATAATATTAGCTTCTTGTATATCAAGAATTTATTAATTAGTAGGCATGTTTAATTTAAGTCTTATTTAGTATATTTTATCCTTTCAAATTATTATTTATGCATGTTGTAAGCCATGTGTCATGTTGGTTTAGTTGAGGCATGGGTTCTTTTATTTATTTTGTGTCTGTTAGTTTAGGATTTCACCCCACCTTTTATTACTAGGTGGATGAATAAGTTGAGTCTCATTGCCTCCATGCATTAGCCTTTTGCCTTCTAGACTGGATAGTAATGTCCTGGCTCAAGGAAGTGTTTTGACAGCGTTTGAACACAGTGTTCTTTATGTCTGGTAGTAGAAAGTGTTTTTAGAAGTGTTTTGTAAGTAATTATTAATATTACATAGTTAGAGACGACCACAAATCGTCCCGAAGCCACGTAATTTCGGATACCCGAATTTGACCTTGCTATCCCCAACCGAAAATTATATGTATCATATATGTTTCTAATTTTTATTAAAACCTTTATAAGTTCCTGTTGTTTCAGTGTCGATTAATTTATTAGACTAACAGTGTGCGGGTAACACTAAAGTTTAATTGGTGGCTGGAGTGGGATAGTTTTGTGAAGAATTCGGAAGAAGTTGATGTTTGTGGAGTTATGTTTTATCGCTGTGGATGTCATCAATTGTCAACATGAATAGACTTGATAACTTGAGTCTTGGAGAGTTGGAGGCTGCTATTGCAGAACTTACGGATTCGTATAACAGCGACATTGCAACGCTTGGGAGGATGTTATCCCAAACAAGGGTTGATGCTGTTCCTCCATCATTCATGAGTCAGAGATCGACAGTTCCTGTTAATTCGCCATCTTTATTTTCTGACATGAGCAGATCTCCTGTTCGATGTCAGAATCAAAGGCAATCCAGTGTTCGTTTCAGTTCATCTACGTCAGGTTTGGAGAGAACTGCAGATTATTACAGAGATTCGAATCCTGTTAGAACGAGGACGTCTACGCCAGTAGATACTCAACGACAGAGAGATAATATGTATGGACCTGTGTCTAATATCTCAACCTTAGCCAGTCGCTGTTCTCCAGAATCTAGCAGAAGGGCAAGACAAGCAGACAGTCATATGTCTGGATTTGACAGAGCTCAGACAGCCGATGCTAGACCATTACAAAGGTTGGCTAAGCCTATTGCGATGCCCCCCAAGTATAATGGTGAAACACGATTGAATGATTATTTGGTTCAATTTGAAGTCACTGCAGAGATCAACTCATGGAGTGAAGGTGATAAAGCGAGATTTTTGGCGATTAGTCTTACAGGTAAGGCAAGTGATATATTTGGTACGTTGAAACCAACTGATGTTCTTAACTACCATTGTTTGGTAGAAGCTTTAAAGCAGAAATTTGATCCTCCGGAGTTAGCAGAGATGCACAAGGTACAGTTACGAGAACGACGAAGAAGGAACAATGAAAGTTTGTCGGAGTTTGCTCAAGCTGTCCACCGCCTGGTGTATTCTGCTTATCCCAGAAGTAGTGAAATAACGAAGGAAGAGATGGCTAAAGACCATTTTATCCAGTATTTTGGAGATAGCCAGATGAGAATGCTTGTAAGCCAAGCACGTCCCCGAGATTTGAATGCCGCACTACACCATGCTATGGAGTTAGAGGCCATCAAACATTCAGATCCCGATGTACGCTCCACTCATGTAGCTAATGCAAAACCCAAGTCTGGAAAGAAGGCAGAATCTGAGAGTTCTGAACTGCATAAAATGATAGCAAGTTTGAAAGAAGAATTAAAAGAAGTGAAAGAGAAGTTACGAGAGTCAGAAAATAAGATTTCAGATAGGAAAAGAAGAGACCTGTCTGAAGTAACATGCTTTAATTGTCTAGAGTTAGGGCATTATTCTACGACATGTCCCTCACCTCGCAAGAGTCCCCCTGTTGGCTCTTGGCGAGATGGGAGGGTACCATTTCAGCAGACTAATCAGAGAGATACACCTGCTGTACCAGTTCCCATGCCAGCACCTTCAAGGTCACATCATTCTAGCTTAGACAGAACTGTTGGTGTTGTGAACCCTTCCAGTTCCGGTATTTTTGTTGAAGGCAAAGTAGAGGGACTGGACACAGAATTTTTAGTTGATACAGGTGCTAGCCTGTCGATGATTTCAGAAGATTTTTATGATTCGTTTGAAGAGAAACCTGAGTTGCGTCCGGTTAATTGTAAGCTGTTACAGGCTGATGGCTCGCCTTTAAACGTTAAGGGTCGGGCATATCTTAAGATTGAAGTTACCGATAAGAGTTTTGTTTTTCCCTTTGCAATTGTGACCATGCCAACAAGGGCTATTCTTGGTCTAGATTTTGCAAAAGAGGAAAATGTTATAATTAATGTTCCTTTGTCAGAGATTTATGTTGGTGGTCAGGTGATCCCATGTCAGACTAAGGGTGGAATTGGTGTATGTCGTGTTATCCCCGAATCGGGTACCGAAAAGGATGATTTGGTTCGTGGTTCTTTGATTGATACTTTGCTTAAATCTTTTAAGGAAAGCCTAACAAGTCAGCAGTATAATATTACAGCGACTACTTTGTCCAGGCATATAAAGGCTTTTGCGGTTGATAGTGATGACGTTGGTAGAACGGAACTTATGTCTCCTTGTATAGAAATTGGGAGTCATCCACTGATTTGCCAACCATCCAAAGTACCGCCAGATGTTTTGTGTTACAATTATCATTGTCATTTTATTGATTGTAAAGAGAGGTTTCGCTCAAAATATTTCTGGAGAAGACATCTAGCTACACATTTGCCGAAGAACGACAATACAGATGATATATATGCTAAGCTTGTCATGGATGAAGTTGCAAAGTCTAAAGGTAATACTTCAAAATCTACACTGAAGACTGTTCCGGTAGCAACAGTAACAAGTAATTCTGTTGGTTCTAGTCCAGCTAGTGTTGTGGATTCGGAGGCTACCAAACGTTTTGTTTGTCAAATTTCTCAGCAGCCCGAATCGACTTTGTCGAACGAAGAGAAGACTGTTGATCTTGAAGTACCTGTTGATATGTCTTTTAGCCCTAAAGAATCTGTTGCAGTTTTATTAAGTCCAAAGAAACTGCCTACAATATCTTTGAGTCCCAGGAAGGATAATTCACCTATGAAATCTGATGCAAGGCCTAAAACTTCCGACGTATCAACATCTCCCCCACCCTTATGGCCCATTGCTATGTCTAACTCAGATGAGCCATTGGGATTTATAATTAAAGAATCCATACACAAAACAACAGAGGCTGGTGGAAAAGAACGCCTTTACCGACTTATACCTAGATGTGAACAGGAAGTTGCAGACTTTGATGGTAACGGGAAACTGAAGGGTTTCAGGACAACGCTACAATGTTTGTATTGGCCCGTCGATGAAGCTCCCCCACCGCCCTTGGAAAAATTAGAAGAAAAGAGATAACGAAAAGTGAACTTTAAGTAATGTTTGCGAGTTTAATCGACAATTATCGTGTTGAACTGATCGTGGTTCATAGTGATATAAAAGTGTGTTGACGGTATACGTTATCTGTATTTGTGTTGTGATGAATATATATATCGCGGGAACAAATCAGTGATTTTGAACTCTAATGACTGTGTTAATTCTTTAAACTGTGATTTTATAGATCATCAGTGTGAACTGATTTCGCGAAAACATCGCGTTTGCGAGCTGTAATTTGGACAATATGTCGCGTGTTGGAGTAAAAGTGACTTGAACTGTGATTTAATGATTTGACATTTTGAACTTTATAAGTTTATTCCAGTTATCAATGTTTTGAAATGTTTAATTTGTTCATTATGTTTACTATTTCGATCGAGGACGATCGATTTTCGGAGTCGTGGGTAGTGTAACCGGTAGCCGTAGCTATCTTAATTATTTGTATTTCGTTTTCCGGAAAAGCGCTCCGTAGTTCTATATTTAGACTATGGGTGTAAGTTTTGGTACCTATCGCTACTCTAGTAAAATCTATGGTTTTCTCGGCACAGTCATCGCCTGTTTAATATTTTGATATTTTTATATTGTGTAAGAGTATATATTTCTAATTGAGCATGCTGCCTATGTTTTTATTATTGTTAATTGTGTCTGCCGACTGTATTTTCAAGCAAGAACTTTACTATGTTTATATATGTATTTTCACTTAGTTTGTTATAATATTTAGTGGGCAGATTTTGTAAGTAAACATTTTTGATGGGGACTTATATGTATCTGGTAGATAAATTATCTAGCTATCCGTGCCTATCCTTAGTTTTGTGGTGCCTACTTTGTGTCAAAAGTTCTGCATATTTTTTGGATAGTACCCGTGTCTGGATTTTAGATTCCATGCCGACTTGTCCAAGGGAGATAATATTAGCTTCTTGTATATCAAGAATTTATTAATTAGTAGGCATGTTTAATTTAAGTCTTATTTAGTATATTTTATCCTTTCAAATTATTATTTATGCATGTTGTAAGCCATGTGTCATGTTGGTTTAGTTGAGGCATGGGTTCTTTTATTTATTTTGTGTCTGTTAGTTTAGGATTTCACCCCACCTTTTATTACTAGGTGGATGAATAAGTTGAGTCTCATTGCCTCCATGCATTAGCCTTTTGCCTTCTAGACTGGATAGTAATGTCCTGGCTCAAGGAAGTGTTTTGACAGCGTTTGAACACAGTGTTCTTTATGTCTGGTAGTAGAAAGTGTTTTTAGAAGTGTTTTGTAAGTAATTATTAATATTACATAGTTAGAGACGACCACAAATCGTCCCGAAGCCACGTAATTTCGGATACCCGAATTTGACCTTGCTATCCCCAACCGAAAATTATATGTATCATATATGTTTCTAATTTTTATTAAAACCTTTATAAGTTCCTGTTGTTTCAGTGTCGATTAATTTATTAGACTAACAGTGTGCGGGTAACAAGTATACTTACACATAGATACATGAAAAACTTGAATAATTGTTACAATTTGTTACCCACGCATAACTGTTATGCCGTATGTATTTTCCTGTTCTATGTGTTAAGATCCATAAGTTTGGTCAACACCCTCAGATCAAGTATGTTTTCTCTAACCAAAATCTAACAAAAGTCTTACCTTGAGTACAAAGTATAGTGATCCAAGAGATGTTGTTGGGGCTTGTATATTATACATTCGAGTCATCTTAGATTACTTTATATTTTTAAAGTCCTTTCATTTTGCAATGCCATCACAAGAAAAAAAATATTTATCGGTATAATTATTCATTAGTCTAATTGAATGGATTATTCATATTGTTATTAACTAACCGAGGAAACAATCCTAATCATTCATTCTGTTGTAAATATTGTACTGAATATAACTTACGTTTTTTATTATCTTTAACATTAATCTTTCAGATGATTGGTACCTTGTTGACGTATGGAATTGTGATGCTCCAATTTTCTGAATCTGGTTCTTCTGGAAACAGCGTTTGCAACAACAAAACTTCGATTACATCTTAAATATTGTACAGATACATGGGTATATTCACAGAATATAATTACCAATCCCACTAGGCGTCACAAAATACACAACCTTGAATTTGTACATGGAACACAGCCGTTGTTTGGTGTTATCTTTATTCTTATGTATCTTGAACTTTTAAAGTACAATGTTTTACCTTACGTCGGCTAAAGTGACAATACTTCCGATGAGCTCCACAAATGAACGATAGGGTACTCTTAATTGCTATTAAACTATTGTTGAAATCAGTCGGCATTCCGTTACATCTTTGTATCGTTTACCGTGAAACAAAGTATAAATACACATGTTTATGGTAATGACAAGGTCATTGGGAAGAGAAGTCAAATATTGAGGTAAAATATATAATGTTACACCACTTGGCAACCTTTGATAAAACTTTCCTATTTATTTCCAATACATTCACATGTGTATCAGAAATGAACAGTACGCTTTCGTTCATTTCCGACAAATGAACACTTTTATACGAGCGTAAGATTAAGCAGGATGAAAACAAACGCCTATATCATTAATTTTGTTACAAATTAATTTTGATACACGAGCCATTAGCCGATGCACACGTCAGCACGACTGGTCCAAGCTTTGCGATGTCCTTAAAAACGTATTTTGCACATGGCTCGATCGCGATGCATCCGAAGCTGTTCCTGACGCCTCCGGAGGCCCATAAAGACAATATGACCCCTGTGTCCTAGGTATAACATAACAACACGCATGTGTAAATGAGGTACAACTGAGAAATCATTTTGTCATGAAATGTAATGCAAGGTACGGAAAGGGACAAATGAAAGAGTGCAGAAAGTGTTTCACATTTCGCTTGACAAGTCACTTATGAGCATTTCCTCGGTGTATCAGTGAAGATCAGGACAGTTGTGGTCGAGAAACTGTCCAGATCTTCACTGATACACCGAGGAGATTGTGCTAATAACTACTAACAGAACACAGTTTGTATGGGAAACAATCAGATTTTATTCTAAAAGGACGACTAATAACTACTACTTTCACAACCGAAAAATGTGTTACATGTGTAGACCGACTCGTTGCTTGGTTTACGCCCCTTCCACCCCACCCCCACACTAAATATAAATAGGATATTGCTTTTAAACCTGTATGGCATGTCGAAATGATATGGGGGTTAACGTCCTGCTTTCCTGCACTGACTGGGCTAATGAAGACGGACATAAAACGTACGTTGAGCTATGAGATCAATTTTGCCCAGACAGTGGCTCAATCGCCTACGCTTGTTTCGAGTTCCAACAGTCAAGTGTTCTTTTACCTGCACACCAATGTGTACAATGGGACATCGGGCTTTCGTCCCATATGAACGACTAATCCCTGTCCTTGGCAGGCATTTCTTCCTGCACCACTGCCAAGCGGGAACCACATTGGAATACCTTGAACAAAACCCTGAGACATCCTGGTGAGCGATCCAGCATCTTACTCACTGCGCCAGCGCGGCTCCCGCAGAATGTCTATCGGTCCCTTAAGCAGAATTTTTATCGGTGCACAGACCACTTGTTAAATTGTTCAATCACAAATACAGAGAAATTCTGAATTCCCTTTAAGATTATGACATAATTAATTAAGATAACGTCTACAATTTTGTAAATAAAACTCTCAAACCATGTTTACTCATGTTCAATATGCAATGTAGCTGATCAGTAACTCGCAACACAAAATTATATGTCTTAATTACAAATTTACAATAGAGTTGATTTATGATATCAACGCAGGAATATTAAACAGATTATTCTGTAGGCTAGTGTTCAAGATTGTTATTTGCTGTGTATATTGCTTTGCTTGGTTACAGTCCTATTGCTGTAATTGAACCTGTGATAAAATGTGATGTGTTTTGTTTACTATTATGGTTGGATTAATTTATTTAATATACGAGGATAATGTGTCATTAATATTTACATTAAACACAATATGGATTTATTCCTTCCTAATGGATAATTTTTAATGTACGTTAGTTACATCAGATAAAATATTAGTCGATCGTGTTTTTATCATTTTGACAAAGCATGTCCATTACAAATCAAGTGGATTGGATTATTTTATATTGAGGTTGTGAAATAGGCCACGCCAATTGATAAGGACTGGTAATCACGTGGATTATTGACCAGAAAGACAAAGAGTATCTTCCGGTGACCGTAAAATCTGTGTTCTCGTACGGTAGCCACTGGAAAGAAAGTTGAAATACCAACTTCGCCTTTTATGGAAAATGAATTCAGTTCATTGCTTCAGCAGATTAATTAAGCTTGCCAAATTGGTAGCTCTTTATCGCCCCAATGTTCAAGGCTATGAAAAAGGGCTGATTCCGAAGACATTAATGTGTTGGATTTGGGGTTTACTTATTCACGGAGTGCTTTGGTTTTTTGCGGTCAAAGTTACAGCTATTATTTTTATTGAAGATGCAGAATCCAGAATAATTCCTATTTTAGCTGTTATTATCTGTTTCTTTGGTTTTTCCTACAGTTCATCATTGTCGTATTTTGCTCTAACACAGAACTTTTCAAAATTTTGTGAAGCTTTGAATTACCACCAGAGTCGATTTGGAACCATGGTCAAAATGCCTTTTATTCGCAAGGCCAACAAAACTGTGCCATATATAATTGTCTTGGGTGCCGTGCTAGTTTCCGCCGGGATCGGTAGTATTGTCATAATTTGGGAAGAAGAAATGGAACGATATGTTTATCCGCTTACGTTTGACAGTTTAACATCCACTGCCGTGGTGTTATTTACAGGAGTAGTGTTTGAATTTATTGTCGCTTGTCATGCATTTATTTTAGAAGCTATCTTCTTAGAGATTTCGATTTTATTTATCTACGAATTTAAGAATCTGAATAAACAACTTCAAATCAGTATTCGAAAATATACCAAAACAAACGATGAAAACACAAAGGCTTTTGAAAACACTATTGAGAAGTTACGTCAGGAATACATCAGTTTAATTGATTGTTTCGAATCGTCAAATGCACTTGTACGCCATTTTTTATTCGGATACTTTGCAGTGTTCATTCCTACATTTTGTTTTATGCTGTATGGTTTTACAAGAGGTTCCTTAACAACGGCCGAATCTGTCTATCTCCTACTTTTATCTGGTTCAATCCTCTTATGCGTTGCCGTCTTTACAATCGCGGGGGCAACACTAAGCGTCAAGGTAAGGCTGTATTTTATTTAGTCGACTTTGATTTGGTATTGTTTTTAAAAATAAGATTTGTTTTTAACCAAGTCGCATTTTCCTCTGAAAATTATTTAAGGACTAGATTTCGTGAAAGCTATATGCAATTAATAATATTTTACGGCGATTCATATCTTAACAGTTATATTTTGTTTCGATTAGGCTCATGAACCTTTGGATGAACTGATGAATATCAATCTACTATCAGTAACTGACAAAACATCGCAGTCTGTAAGTATAAAGTTTGTAAGCACAGTACCATAAAACAGGGTATCAGTACCGTGGGATAGTACTGCACCGTTACATTAACATAAACATAGATCTATTTATAAACATAGATCTGTTGTCCGTGCCATCCCAACCTGCTGGTATGTACATAATTGTCAGTACAATATCAACTAAATGTCAGTTATATTATGTCAAGGGGATAGGGACGGGTAAAGTGGCCATTAGGTGTCATGGGATAGGTGGCGTGGATATGATCCGAAGCCTGTACGTGACAATGGGTAGCGACCGCATGGGGTTTCTCCAGTAATAGCTGTTACTACTCCCTTTCTCTGTCTCTCTATTGTTATTAATTAACATTTTCGTTCTCCAGTGATACCCGTTACTACTCTCTCTCTTACTACTCTCTTGTTATTAAATAACATTTTCGTTCTCCAGTGATACCTGTTACTACTACTATTCCTCACCCCCTCTCTCTTGTTATTAATTAACATTTTGGTTTTATAGGTACTTGTATTCGTGTCTAGAATAACGGGACCAACAATAGGCTTTAGAGTGTATGAATTATTCACCTTGGATACAAATACGATACTAACCGTAAGTATTCAAAACTTCGTACAGATATATTTTCGTGGAAGTCTAGGTTGGGTGACGATACTACTGTTTGGAATTAGACATCATCTTAAGGATATATTAAGATATTGGCCGATTTATATGGATATGATATAACTACTTGACATCCAAAGACCCTGAGTCATGCTATTTTCTCGGGTTTCAGATTTGTTACCTTTAGTTATTCTGATCGTAAAGGAGCTAAATCGCTAGTATTTGGGACCTAGAAACTGACACAAATTTGGTCGCAACGCATGTAATAATGTAATATGAATGTATACTAATGTCCAAAAGGAAGTATACACTGTGCATTTTGTCCTGCTTCAAACAGTCATTGTATGCGGTATTTGGGTACAATGTCCATTTTTTGCCATTTATTTGCTTAGAAATATTGAGTTTGGACGCACGAGACATGTTCAGTGTACTTTATCACATTTTGTTGATTTAAACAAAACTTAGTCATACTTTTAGTGTGTATACTTTCTTTTGGACATTAGTATATATAAACTGATTTACATTCAATTATGTCCGTTTCTACTCTAATTTTAAATCAGTTATGTTCCGTGAAATAAGCCAGAAGTCTCAATTGAATGGCAATCACTGGCTTCTGGTTATTCCAGTCTACACCGATAGTATTTATTGTACATACTCGTCCTTATGGTACATGATTCGTGCACCAAAGGTAAAATGTTTATTTTGTCTTCAATATTGGATATCAGAAGCCCATCATTTCCCGGTACGTTCAAAACATTAATGTTGATTTAAATTGACAAATAATTCGTGTTTCCAATGTCGAAGACTTTGGATGATATTGACTTTACTTTAAGTGGCACTGCATGCTGGCTGAAATGAAATCTTTAAATCAAAGGTGTACACGTGTATTTTAAAAATTTTTTTCAGGTCGGAGGAACTTTATTGACATATGCTGTTGTGATGATACAGTTCTCTGATTCTGCAAAAACGGACGCATGCCCACGAAATATAACACTTACTTAATTTTTATATACCGACATCATTGTGGGCGTACTATGCCATCACCCTGTCCACGTTCTGCAAAAACCGACACATGCCAACCAAATATAACGTACGGTTTATTAGAAAACATCGGTGAACAAAGCTAATTGATTATTGGGTAAATAATAATTATAAAAAAACTGGTGAGCAAAACTTTATTATTCTATACAATTAATGTGTGTACGATTCAACGATTAGTTGTGGTGTGGAGAAATCTTTGTAGAAAAGTTCCCCCGTAACATGGAGAAAGAAAAGTACCATACGATGGCTACAGGAAAACGAGATACAGTTGGCTACTCGGATAACGGATCGGCATTTGCAAATCGCGTTTCAGTCCTGTTTGACTTTTATGATACATTTTGCATGACCACATTTTTTTACTCCTGTACCCTTTTACTCGGGGAAATTAGAACAACAATACTCTTCTGACGGAAATGTATCTCTAATCGTTTGGACTGCACACGATTGTAGAGGGACTCAAAAAATCATTTTAAAACACAGTTTTAAATAGCTGCCGTGAGAAGAGAGGGCGGGTCATCTCACTTTGTCGAAATTATTGTTGCTGTTGTTGTTTATTACAAATTTAACGCCCAATACATAAGGCATGATATTATGGACATGTTGATGTAAGTAAGTTATTTACATATGAATGAATTATATAGAGATGGTTAAAAACACTATAAATAAATAGTTCTTGTATATCTAAAAGTCACATTCAAACAAAGCTTTTCAATCGCTGTCGTGCGAAGAGAGAGCGGGTCATCTTCCCACTTTGTCATAATGAAAACAAGTTAAAACAGGAGGGCCAGCTGTTTGATGCCATCGCAGCGGATTGAAAAATCAATATGGGAAAAAGAATCCGCTGTTAAATGTGGAAAAGCGAAGTTATCACAGTAAAACCCATATAGATGGATCCGTGGAGTATTCAAAAATAAAAATGTTCCTGTTGTTATTTCCATAAAATAAAAAGTTATTTGACACAGATCACAAGTTCGGTGTTTAAAATCATTTATTTTCCTGCAGTCCATAAAAATATCTCTTTTTGTCGAAATATCGATGCTTTAAATTTATATGATTATTACTTGAAACTTTTTCACCTCTTAAAATCCCACATTTAATTATTTCTATTGGTTTCATAGATTTTCGTAGCGTCGTCGATAACAATTTTACACCAATCTTCTTGTTTTAATCGGAATCCAATTATTGTTGGTTTAATGTCGGCTTATTCTCATTAAAATGACACAGGGATATGGCTACATCGACTGTCTTTGTTATGACATTATAAAACAAATTCTAAATTGGATCTTAAATTTAATTAAAATAAAATACAAAACAAATTACTCCATAGTCAATTGTCCAATTTAATTAGGGGATTAAGGAATCAGTCAGGCGTTAATGAAGACATACACCGGCTGTATATAGGTAATTAAGGAATAAACATTCGCTCACTGTGACATCACTGGCGTCTGGGGGGGATTAAGAGTGTTTTCGATAATTGGCAAAATCGTTTTTACAGGTCTCGTTTTATGACTTTGAGTGAAAATAGCTGAATTCCTTTTAATGAGATTGGTGTGAACTTGCCGTAAAGTGGATACAATCCCTCCTTGGCCGAATTCCTTGTGAACTCGATATAGACAGTTTTCGTCGGATTCTTTTCAAATTTGGTTTGAAGCATTGTCGTCACAACCGGTCAAACCCAATCGATATTACGCGTTCAACGACTCTGCCTTTCCCGAGTCATCGCCTCTTTGCCGAAAACCTTGTGAGCGCGATAGAGACTACATTACTTAAAGGAATTCAATTCAAATTTGGTTGCATTGTGGTCATGGGAAGATGAACCCCATCGTAATAAGGCCGCCGTTTTAAAAATGTTCCTTTTTCATTATCTATTTTTCAAATTTAGGTCTAAGCGGGACTTTCCATTCCGGAGCTATCGCTCGTTTGCCGAAAACCTTGTGAAGGCGATGTAAGCTACATGTTAACATACGTTTTCCAATTTGGTTTGAAGCATTCTGTGATTTTTCGTTTCAGAGTTTTGATGGGAAACGGGATAGTCATGAGAGAAAGACACCATTTCATTTCTTTCCGTTCCGGGGTTATCCCCTCTTTTCAAATTTGGTGGGAAACATTTGGGTCATGAGTAGATTAACCCTATTGATTTAGCGTTTCCATTCCCTCTTTGCCAAAAACACGATACATACTTTAGTTTTTAACGGAATTCTTCCAAATGCGCTGTTAAGCATTGGCGTCATGAGAGGATGACCCCTATCGATATTCATTGTTCCACGACTTTTCGTTCCGAGGTCATGAAATTTGCACAACACCCTCTTTTTCTTTTCGGGGGGGCCGAATGGTTAGCACGTGCGCGCTGTATCATACGGTCTGTAATTGAGTCCACTGGCGGGGTTTCGATTCCTCGGTACGTGACAAGGAGTAGGTTCGCCTGTCCAACCTCGTGGGTTTTCTCCGGGTCCTCTGATTTCCTCCTACTGCTAAAGACCCCTAAGCGCAAGCGAATTATTGAAATAAAATTGAACGATGTGTTAGTCCCGAAATGACCTAGTTTGTGTCGAGTAGACGTTAAACCCCATCTCTTTTATATAGACAGTGCAGCGTGTGTTGTCCATATATTATTGTGGGAGGTATAAGGTTGTGTTCAGTTAACGAAACAATACCGTATAAAATGACAATCTTTTAATTTAATTCTGTGTTTCAATTCATCTTTTATTTTCTTTTTACAAAATTGATGTGACACATTCTACAGCTAGGTCATATGGCGACTATATAACCTCTATATTTTTATCATAAATATTGCTTTGTGAACGGACGTCTTAAACATATTAGGAGCTGCAGTGGTTGGGGAAGTAAGACGTTGGCACGCTTTTCTTGTGGTCCCGTGTTCGATCCTGGTGTTGGCCGGGAAAATTCATTGGAGTTTTCCGGCGTGGTTCCCCCTTGTGAGTGGTGCGGGACGGATGGAAAGGCATATAGTCGTTCGGATCGGACTGAAAACAGAGGTCCCATGTACACAATGACGTGCACGTAAAAAAACACCCTGGCAGTTAGAAATTGAAGTAACAGTAGCTGGTCGGGCACAACTTCCCACACAGAAAACTTATGACCGTATTCATTAGCTCATTCGGTGCAAAACAGTAGGCATTTAAACATCTTGGCTCTTAAACCGAGGTTACAAGTAGAATTAAAACATAAATTTTGATTGAGACTCCTTTCGATTGCCTAAACGTACACCCTAAGACTAAATCAATGCCTGTATTAAATGAAATGAAATGAAATGGGGTTTGTCTGCGCCCGCTCGGTTATTCAAGATGACCATATGGAATATAATTTGATACAGAGAAATTCTGCCCGGATAGCGGCACTCCGACGTACTCTTATTTTGACTATCATCGCGTATTTTAATCAGATTGAAGAATATATTGAAAATGAAAGATTTACAATGGGCTAAGTCAGCCCTTACATAATGCATCTTTAAAGAAACCTGAGTTTGCACTTCCTGTTGAACTTTATAAAGCCCCTTTTGTTTGGCTTGGTGGTATTTCTATGTATCTGTGAGGTTGAAACGAAGACATATACAACATGTAAAAGGTCACGTTCAACACATTAGTGAAGTTTTGTTTTTTAATTTGCAAACTTCATTCCGTATAAGGTTATAAAGCCAAATAATTATTTAACATATTGTTCCAATCTCCTATAACATTTTTTTTAAATCGCATCTGAAAATGAATTAAGCCATTAAGTATTTATACTGCGTTGTTAAACAACTTTCATGTTTATAATGACTTGTCGATAATACTAAACAGAATAAAAAGCTGATCCATTACATGACAATCTGTTAATTGGTGAAGCTGGCGCGTGTTTAATGTTTTAGAAAGAAATTTATTGTGTTAGCATTTAGTTTAATAAACAATAAAACCAAACAATAAAACCAATCATTAGTATCACATCTGATTTTACATAGTGTTTGTTAATTATAGGTTTAGTATTATTTGGCTATATGAAATCGATAATATATTTGATATGACCATTATCCATGCATTTAGACATATCGTGTTGGTAATTATAAAGCGAATCGTATACCCTTATACTGGAGGGTGTTGGGTGCAGATGTGTGATATGTTTCTATTGAAAAATGGGCAAAGAAGACGTATTAGGCAAAACACTGCTGTTTTGGAATTTAGCTATATTTTGAGGTACAGTGCGTGGTTTTTTTTTGGTTCTGGTAAAGAACCAATGTGCACTTTCATGGAGAATAGTCAATGGTGAAAGATTAATAGCTTGAGCGTTCATCTGCTCAGAAGAAACCAGCGGTTGCCAGGCAAGATACGCACACATTTTGCAAGAGATGGATAGAGAACAAGCTAAACACAAAAGCGAATTTTCGTACAATCAGGGGACATAATCCAGCAAGTTATGGTCTGAAGTGCGCAAATATGGAAAGGGACTGAGATGTTTGGACTTAAACATATATATTAAGTTTCATCACAATCAGATAAAACTTGTGACCTGTAGAGGGTCAACAACCTTCGTATTACATACTTTTACACAAATAGAGCGGCTATTTTATCGGGCAGTTTCGTTTTGATTTTCCCGAAATTCGAATTAAATCCTCATTATGGTTGAATGGTAATATATCTAAACGGTTTTTAAAATCGGATAAAAAAAATTATGACCTCTAGAGAATCCACAAGCTAAAAAACACGATTTTTCGTACAATCAGGAGCCATAATCCAGGACGTTATCGTCTGATATGCACAAATAGCGACAGGAACCGAGATCTTTGGGACATAAACATATATTTTAAGTTTCATCAAAATCTCCTAACAATTGTGACTTCTAGGTTCACAATCTTGGTATGACATACTTTTACACTATTTGCGTACGAAGAGCCGCCAGTTTGTCAGGCAGTTTTGGTCATTAGGGCGTAACGTATAAAAATTGTGATCTCTAGAGGGTCTACAAGTTAAAAACGTGATTTTTCGTACAAAGGGGCCATAATCAAGGAAGTTACGGTCCGATATGTTAAAATATCAAAAGGTTCCAAGATCTTTGGATTAATAACACAAATTTTAAGTTATATCAAAATCGGATAGAAATTGTGACTTCTAGAGTGCCCACAATCTTGGTATAACATACTTTTACACTATTTGTGTACAAGGAGTGGCCATTTTGTCTGGCAGTTTCTGTTAGATTTTTACGGAATTCTAACTCAATCTTCATTGATGTGTAACGGTGATATATTTAAACGGGTTTCACAATTGAATACAAATTGTGACGTCTAGCGGGACCACAAGCTAAAAATGCGATTTTTCGAACAACCAGGGGCCATACTCCTGGAAGTTACGTTCGGATATGCACGATTATCGAACGGAACCAAGATCATTGTGATATAAACATAAATTTAAAGTTTCATCAAAATCTTTTTTTCATTTTTCATTTCTCTAACGGAAAGCGAGCGTTGTATACGTAGTCGACCCGTTTGCTAGACTGTAAATAATATTTGTGTATTTTTACCGTAAATTTACTGGCCAGTAAAATGACTGTATTTTAACACCGACAGAGAGTGTAAAATAACTTGGATGTAAATTTACATTGCGCTTGTAAACATAAAGTGAGGTAAATTTACATTCACTCTAAATTTACACTGTGGTTGTAAATTCACCTCAAAGTTATCTTACACTCACTGTAAATTTACACTGTTGTTGTAAATTTACCTCAAAGTTATTTTACACTCACTTACGTGGTGTTTGTAAATCTAAATCTACCAATTAGGGGTACATTTACAAGTCAGTTTTAAAATACAGTGATTTTACTGGCAACTTTCTGCCAGTCATTCTACGGTAAAAATACAATTTGAAGCGTATAGTTACTTGAAATATACTTTGAAAAGGTGA